AACGAGGCAGTCACAACTCATTGTTTCAAAAACTATTACGAGCTCTTAATCTAATCTTAAACGCGACAAAAACAATGGCAAACACCTACTTACATAAAAATTAACCACATTGAATGAACCAAGAAAATAACAAGCAATTTTTCTATAAATAACTTGAACTGTTTTTGTGCTGCACATATGATCAATAATCATTATGCATCAACCATTAACGGAAAAATTCCGTGTTTGTGTTATGAATTATGTCAACAAAAACACGAAATTATGAGCTAATATTTTGATGATTGATTGAATTACCTACTCAAGGTTAATCGACTGTCTTGCTGCAAGTAAGTTACTGCAAGCAACCGCCTAACAACACATCCCAAATCGTAATCGATTTCTGAATTAGGCAAAAAAGTATATTAACTATGTATATAAGCATAAACTATATTCTCATGACTGTTTTTACCAACCATTCCTCAATTAAGTAAGTGTTACTCACGGTGAAGGAGCACCTAAACTTATCCCTTATCTTTACCTTTAGGTATCACTTACAGGTTTGTAAAAATCTAAATTTCGTTAAGTGTCACCTATTTTAGGTTAAGCTTGCCTTAAAATTAAAGACGACTGGTGAAAACGGGTATAAGTACTTATTCGTGCATCTTGAAATCCAAGATCTATCTCTGTACATCAGCAGGTCAGGCTCCAGATCGTAAACAAACATACATAGGTACATAAGTACTTACTTTCGGGCCCCACGGTTATAATATAGCTACAGTTAAAACTAAATGAACTGATATATGGCAGTAAATACAAGTTTTACCTAAAACTTGTATCATATTGTGGTATAGTATTATCATTAATATCATCATCATCATGTTCTGTTATATGTATGTATGTATGTCTAAGAAAGGTGTAAGAAAGTACGCGTCCTGTCCACCGCATACTAATGGAAAATTTATAAAAGTTAAAGTCGCCTGTCTTTAAAGTTTTCTAGAATACCTATGCCTAGTTAGTTTTAGTCATTTGAGCGTCCTGAAAATCGAACCTTAACGATAATCGGGGAGCAAAAATTTATCAAGTTTATATGCAACTCAATTTGATACCACCCCTCAGTGGCAAATAGTAAAAAATCTTTTAATTTTTTTTTCACTATGCAGAATAAAAATATTCGACTCACCTTTAATAATTAAAAAAAATAAGTTAATAGTTACTCCGTTAGTCCGGAAGTACACATGGAATTGTTCGCATGTATGGGATCTTGCCAACCTCGCAAGGGCATGCACATATACGTATATTGGCAATAACAACGTCACTAAAGCCACATAACCGCATTGCACACTTTACTTTCACTTAACATAACTTCGATAAAACACCACCACAAATATCCTTCGATAAACGCAGTTATATCGCCCGCGTTCAATACAAAACTGAACTCGAAGTTCCCGCGCGATCACACGTCAATGTCACTTCATAAATCAATTCATTCAAGAATTTGCACGAGGAATATTCAAAATACCACACATCTTATCTAACCCAGGAACTATTAACAACTTCGTGCTAGTTATTGTACAACACCTCCTAAGACTCATGTATAACAATAATATAATCGTTCGTTTATTATCATTCCGTAATATAATCAAAATAAACCCTATTTGACGTGCTCTTTGGCAGCTGTCTGTCGCGAAACCGTGCCACAGATTGTGACAACAAACCACATGGCATGGTTTTGAAATAAAATTGAAATAGGTTTTACTATACAGCAATCCTAGCGACACCTAGTGGACGAATGAGGAAATACCGTTTTACCTACTGTTTTACCGACATCTATGTACCAATCAAAGAAGGATTTTATGATATTTGTATGAATACTTTTTCATTGTTCTCTTTTCCAGATTTCAACAGCTGTTGTCCAATGTGTATTACAAACGTCATTACAAACTGAACCACTACAATCAAAGTGTACGAATTTATTTTTATTTGTGTAACCTGTACCAAAAATTATTTTTTTATTAAATTATTAGCAATATTTACAATCTAATACGTAACGCGTTTTTATATGGTAATAAAAAATATAATTAACTTATATGGAAGGAAGGATACTTGTTGTTGTAAACCTTATAAAGTTAGAAAATGGGACCGAAGCCGAAGGTGGAAGTCGTTAAAAAATTGGCACCACCTGTTGTACGCCCAGCGATCAGCCAATCCAGTCTCGTTTTCGTGCCTAGAGATGTTTTAGAGGGTAATTCATATTCAGTATTATCATTAAGAACAAGCCCCGAAACTGTCCACTGGCCGGCTCTCTGCCTATTCGGCTCTTACAAAGCCGGGTAGAATGTATTCTACTCAGTCGTCAACACAATAAACATCGTTTATTTGTCGTTGTATAAGAGTTTACACAGAAACTGTGTACATTTTCTGTACACTATACAATATACTATATAAACTTTTGACAGAAGTTAGAATGTGCCCATATATGGCAATAGGCTAACCATTAAATGGAACTCATAACAAAAATAGTGAAAAGTGAGTGTTACATTGTACAGTAGCATTAAGTGCCAAAATGTGCACTTCTGGATACCCCTTCGGGGATAAAAAGGCGTGATGTTATGTTAAGAAGTTAGAATTGTAACAGGAAATATATACATTTTATATTACAATTATAACTTATTTTTATTCTAACTTATTTACATATGTTCTTGATCTCCTAGGTTTTCAAGAACGAATAGAAACTGATATAGACTGGACCGTAACTGAAAGCAGTTGCCGCTTTCATAGAGCCCAATACAAAAAAAATGATGATGCAAAGGTCACCTTTTCCCAAGCTTTGAAAAATAAAATAAGTAGAAGTATCATCAGTGGGTTCCTCAATAAAGATTCTGGATTGACTCTTGAACAGAATTGGGAATTTTTATTACCAATAACATTGTGGGATACGGAGAATTTCGCTACTGATGAAGGAAAAATATGTTTTGACAATGAAAACTGTGTGACTGATGATTTAATGAAATTAATAAAAAATGCTGTTGATGCAGGAGACAGAAATGTTTTGAAAAATGAATTGATGATGGTCAACGTATTGCGCGTTAATGGTATGCAGGTAAATACATTTCTGTGGCATTGTAACTCCGTTAAGTAGAAAAGAAAATTGAAGCCATTTTTTCCTCACGAAACAATTGGTCATTAGTGGTTATTCTGATTGTACGTGGTACGGATGTAAGACACATAACATTATTTATTCGAAATATTACAAAACAGAACAATATTGATATGTAATAAAAGTGTCACATTTTTGCTAGATTAATTAGTTTCTCGACTGGATGTTCCCAAAACTAGTGAATGATGATCTTTGTCTTAAACATAACGAATAAACATTTTTTCCCAGATGACTGAACTAGACGAAACTTTGACTCGATACAAAAAACTAACAACACTTAATTTATGTGGTAACTGGTTAACGGAACTAAACGCAACGTTTATTCCACAAACTCTGAAAGCTTTAGAGCTCCATAACAATTGTATCTCTGATGTATCCGCATTTGCTGAATCTTTACCTTTTGATTTACTCTATTTGGGTCTAAGCCGAAACATGCTTACAACAGGTAATTAATCTAAAAGCTTTTTAAACCTTTAATCACTAATTTAAAATGTCAGCATGATTAAATTTGTCTTTCTACAGAAAATATCGACGCTCTTGGACATCTTCCTTACAATTTGACGGTTTTAGATTTAGCAGACAACGACATCTATCATTTAACTCCAGTAATAGATGCTGTATCAAGATTGCCAAATCTGTGTGCGTTGCAGCTATCTGGAAACCCTTGTGCGGTACGTTATGCTCTAAAATAGTGTTAGATAACCAGTACAGATGGCGCTGTTATATATTTATGTAATATTGTTTTTTACTAGTTGTGCACTGGATATGCCCGAACTTGCTTGCTGAAGTTAAGTCGTTTAAAATGGCTTGACTGCCGGGAAGTTTTGGATTCAGACAGGCCATTAGAATTTACGGAAGTACACCCAGATGATTTGAGGTCTGCCTACTTTCATTTCACTGTTTTTCGAATTGTGTCTTGTCCTCAACCACCTAAGCCTGAAAAGGTAAAAGAATATTTATGATTTTGACAAATGTATGAAAAAAAGAGTTGCTATGTTAAATTCATTATTTAACTAGGGCGCTTCTACAAGCTTTCACATCGAATTAGAACTGCCTTTATTGGACGTGGTAAGGAGGAAGTTCTTAATGTTCCGAAGACCTGAATCCCTCGTGGAACTTCTGCCTCCACCTGAAGACGAAGAGTGGCCAAATACCGCAGGGGCTTCTGTCCCCGCTATAGGTAGCAAAATTCAAGGTAATTAGAGAGTTATTTCTAGCAAAATTTAAGGTAATAAGTTATCATGTACCCTTTTTGTTGATACGCTGTTTATTGTTAAATAAAACTAACATATCACTTTTTTTAAGTATAATCAATCAATTAACCTTAAAATTAATTCAGTCAAACACTATCACTTGATGCAAGATGGACGCCATACATAATAATAAACTGCTGGAGTCCAGACCCTGACCCAGACTGAGAATTTTCAATAATTTAACAGTATTTAGTAGTATGTCAGATGTGGAAAACTTAAATCCATATGTCACCTGTGATTCTCGCAACGAAATAATCATAAAAAAGTGGCTCGCTAACTAATAAAAGATATAGCTTCAGGTATAATCCAAGATGAACAGTCATCTCACGGTTCAGACATCTTTAACAATATGGTGCCTAAAAATACTAGAGAGATACACAACTACACTACGTTTGAGAGTAGTAAGGTGCAATGGAACAAGCTGATGAACTTCAATGAGCCGGTTGTGAAGATCTTCTGCCCAGACCTCGTCGCATTGAGGGATACCTTCCGATCAGCTATCACTATCCGACTGGTTTATTCTATTGTAAGTAGAATATAGTATACTAGCAGCCCGTCCCGGTTTCGCACGGGGTAGACAGACAGTAATTTATTTTTGGAAATTTGAATTGTTGTAGTGACATAACTACAATAGTTGGACATATGCTACCCCGGAGTTTTTTGTAGACATTATGATGTTCTTCAATATTGTTGTACATTATTTTGTTCTATCGCTAATAGTTTCGGCAGCGCATTCGGCGAAAGACATTTTAAGACTCATTTTTCTACACCTTCGGTTACATTGTTCAAATTTTACCAAGGATCCCTAATTTTTTTCAAAATGAAATGTAGCCTATGTCAAATTGGAAGAATGTAGCATTCTATAGCTGAAAGAATTTTTTTAATCGGCTCAGTACTTTTTGAGCCTATTCATTACAAACATACAAACATACAAAAATAGGTACAAATCTTTCCTCTTTATAATATTAGTAGTAAGTAGTATATAATAAGATAACGGTTTTTTTTCTGTAGCAAAATTTTTGCAGAGCCGTATATTAAGACTGAGTGTTTTAGAAAACTTCAGTAGTTATAGCTAATACAAGTTAGATGTGTCTGTTTAGTACATACCTACTATGCATATAGATTCCAAAGTGTGTAATTCAAGATACTCTTATTCCTTAAGCCGACAGCCTGGATAAGCACCAGTATAAGTATTTAACTGACAAAATGTTTTACGTTAAAAAACTATTAGTTGTAAGCAGTCAATATCTAGATTTCTACTTCATTCTTAACAATACAGGTCTACACCCCCCCGAAAGCGGGTAAAACCGAGAAACAGAAAAGTCTATCAACGATAAAACCGCCAGGGGAGATGAGAGTGAACATAGCGACTATCAGGTGCTGCCTCAGGGCTCCGGACTGGAGCCAACAATCTCAACACTTCCACTGGGACGAAACTCTAGGTACTAGCGACGCTATACATTGGGGCGATGGAGATCTTGCTGTGAGTATTACAGTCAGTCTATTAAACATATTTGAATATTCTTCTTCTCGATCGCTCGCTTCATTTCTGAAGTTCGTGCCCCTGAAAGGCCTTCATTGCTCTCTGTGTTATTTCCCTCCATCTTGTCCTGTTTTCGGCTTCTCTATTTGAATATAGATTATTGAACATTTGGAACTGATGGAAACTGAGTGTTATACTAATAAAAATAAGGTAGATTAACAATTGTGTCGTTTTGGAATTTATACGTCAAAAGCTGCATCTTAAGCTGTTGAACTTTGAACTGTGCAAATAATTGACCTCTATCAAAACATTTCTTAGTAATGTGTCAAAACGTATTAGAAAATGAAATTAGTTTAATTTTCTTCACACTTTTGTCAACCATCATATGATAAGTGGGTGTATTCTTTAACCCTGTTTCTCGCGGTCCATAGCCGCCTACGGCGCCCCTGTGTGAGCACCGAACCTGATGCAGCAGACCGCTTGGGCGCTGCTCATGTCACAGAGGGTCATGGCGATCCGAATGGTTCGCGAACTCCGCAAGTTCTCCGGGGAGGCGGAGAACCTTCTTGTCGGATTACCGCCGTGATCTGATGCCGATACGGAGCCTCGGAGGACTTAACGGGTTGCCGGGGCTCCGGCTCGAAGGGCAAGAGTAGGAACGGGGTGAATTTAGTCAGTAAGAGTCTGACTCTCGTTCCCGTCTCGCCCAGGCGAGAGAAGTCATTCGATGATTTTCCCCCCTTTTAGACGGGATCCGTGTTTTGTTTATTGGCCAGATTGACGTAAAAGATATTAAAGAAAATTGTGTGATA